AGAAGGACAAGGGGGGACATGATAGCAGTATTCCAATATCTCAGGGGCTGCCATAAAGAAGAGGGAATTAAGCTATTTTCCAAAGCACCTGAAGGCAGGACACGAAGCAACGGGTGGAAACTAATCAAGGAGAGAAGCAACCTAGAACTAAGGAGAAACTTCCTGACAGTGAGAACAATTAATCAGTGGAACAGCTTGCCTCCAGAAGCAGTAAATGCTCCAACACTGGAAGTTTTTAAGAAGAGACTGGACAGCCATTTGTCCGCAATGGTGTAGGGTTTCCTGCCCGAGCAGGGGGTTGGACTAGATGACCTCCAAGGTCCCTTCCAACTTTACTATTATTATTATTATTATTATTATTATTATTATTATTATTATTATTATTATTATTATTATTATAGGTATCTTAATATATTTTTTTTTCTTTTATTCTTTCCCATTCCTTATAAAATGATTTTGAAAGTATCTATGTATTTTATCCTTTCCATATCACAGAAAGACATGCCAGCCGATTTGCAGGTCATGCCCCTCTAGGTACAACAGTCTTTTATCTCTAAGCATTATCCATTCTTTAAGCCATGTTAAAATGGTTGCTTGGTAATATAACTTCCAGTCCAGCAGTCCAAATCCTCCACTGTCTTTTGTTTCTTGTACCATTTTCACTTTGATTCTAGCTTTTTTTCCTTGCCAGATAAATTTCAATATTATTGTATTCAGTTCATCAAAAAAGGCTTTTTCCCAGCCTTACAGGGATCGTTTGAAATAAAAAGAGTATTTTTGGAAAGATATTCATTTTCACTGTTGCTATTCTTCACTGTTGGAAATGCAAACAGAGATCAGGTACCTATTATCATATCTGGTGGACATGCACCAAAGCAAAAAGATTTTGGGTTAAAATACATTTATGGTTGGAGAAAATGACTAAAAAACAAATAGACTTTAAACCAGAATTATTTTTATTAGAAATAATAGGAGCTAATTATGAGAAAGATTGCAGATATCTAATACTACACATATTAACTGCAACAAGAATTGGATAATGGAAAAATCAAGAATATCAAAATAGTATCTATTGACACTTAGATTGTGTGAATCATGACAGGCTTTGGAAAGCCCTAGAAGGCCTGGTGTATGAAGATATCTGCTCAAGTTGGTGCAGTCATGCACACAAATTAAGAAACTGCTATGCAAACACCTCATGGAGACACTGATTGGTTCAAGACAGAAAAAAGGAGCAAAAGGTTGTATTCTTTCACTTTCCTTATTCAACCTATATACTGAAGAAATCCCAAGAAAGATGAATTCAAAGAGTCAAAAATTGGAGTAAAGATTGGAGAAAAGGAACATAAAAAAACTTATTTTAATTTGTTTTTAGACTTCTATGCCACCTATCCCACTAATGCAACTCTTCAATCTATTGGGAACAAAACTCTCCTCTTAGAAACCAAAAAAGATCTGAAAAAATCTAATCAAAAGGAGAAAGATAAATGTGACCTCTTTCTGAACTTCAAGAAGACCAAATTTCATGACCACTGTTAGGAATGGAATAAAAATATTCCAAAATAACAATTAACAGTGAAAAGAGTGAATGTGTGCTAAAATTTACTTTCCTAAGATTACCAAATGATCAAAGCAGTGAACACTGCCCAGAAAAAAGAAGTCGAATCACACTGAGTCCCATAGCAATTATGAATATGAATTGAGTATGGAAAAGGACATCAGCAAAGCAATTAAATGCAGATTAGTTTGCAGTATTGTGCTTTCCAATAGTTACTTACACTTGCAAAAGTTAAACCATGAAAAAAATTAGACATGAGGAAAATTAACTCATTCAAGTTGTCTTGTTGGAGAAGGCAACACGAAGGTATCCAAAAAACATTCTTTGGATAGTAAAGATGACAATCAAGTATTGGAGTGTATAAAACTGGACATAGTGCTGGAAAATTCTGTCTTACTTATTTTAATCATGTCATGTGATCAAAATCATTGGAAAAGACAGTTATGCCTGAAATTGTTAGCAATAAAAGGAAACAAGAATGCCAAAAAACATAGTGGCTACACACAATCAAAGCAACACCATCTAGAGCATAAAACAATTGAAAGTCATACAAGATCAGAAATGTGGAGAACAGTGTTCCATAGAATCACCTAGAATATGACATGTTTGAATGGACAGCATCAACAATTGATATTGGAGAGACCGTATTTCTCTAGACCTCTTTATTTAGTCAGCAGAAAAGTAACAGATTGTGATGGTTGATCATAGTGACTTAAAGTACACATACTTTTGCAGAGTCACTGGGGTCAATTTTGATTTCAAAAGTATCTGAAAGAAACTTTAACATAATTTCCATATATTCTCATTTTCAACTATGTGTTTCTTGTCTAAAGCCATTATGAGACCATACTGGCACTCGAACTTTTCTCTAAAGAAATCAATAGCTATTGTGTACTTTTTCCGAACATATAAAAAAGGGAAAAATAGTTGTATTGTAGTTATTCATAGAACTGTATCAGAAAATCCAACAGATTCCTATTTCAGCTTTCTGTGGAGATTAATTCCTTATTAATGGAATTAATATAATAAAATATTAGTTTTATCTTTTGTTTTGTTGTTTAATTGATGAGAATGATACTGATTGATGTCACTGGTTTTAGAATGAATATGCCTTTGTTTATATTGTGTAATTTTAAATTCTACTTTTAAAATTTCGGTTATTAGATGGTGCAGAATAAAGTGCTTCTTTTAATATATTATAATCACTTTTACATCTTATTAAAGGATGTTACAGTAATACATATTCATAATGCATTTTGTTTCCTATGAAATAGCTCCAATTTATTGAACTTTGTAAATAAACTCTGTATATTACAGAAAGGATAAAAAAGAAAACTGTTTATAAGTTCACTTTACATTACTAACTACATGATAACTGATAACTCTATTTTAATTTTTATATATTATTTTAATTTTCAAATAAGCTATTTTGGTTCTTTCTAATTTTTTTTGACAGGGAGAAGAGAGGTGGGAGAAAAAAAATCAGGTATCTGCTTATGATTATAGTATTGCTGCCTTAGCAACTAAAGTACAATTGGTACCTAACTTATCTTTAATATTCATGCAACACCAAAGTTATTTGGATGCTAATCAGAATAGTCGTCCTGGCCAGAGTAATTTGGGAATTGTTTCATCTCTAATATGTATAGAATCAAAAGAAATTTTAATACAAACAAAAATGAAAAGGCTCAAAACAACATTCTATTTTTTATTTACAATTGTATGGCTGTTCTTCGTTCTATGAAGACAGCATATTTAATTTTCTCCATTTCATCATAAAAATGGTCCCAATTGCCAGGTGGGCTAAGTGGCTAAAAAGACCAGTCACCCAATAGACTTCATGGCTGAGTATAGAAACAGTTTTGACTATTTAAATACTATAACATGTAAAATTCTAGAAAATAATAAATGATGAAAATACCATACACACACTATTCTAGATCACATGGATTCTTATGTGCCACAGCATCATAAAAGAAGTGCATTTTCTTTAACAACGCTTTACACCTGATCTATATCCCCATCTGGAAGAAGCAAAATGCCCCGCTACTGCCACTAGTGTTAATTTTAATCAGATTTTTTTTGTGGAGAACCATAAGAGTTTTAAAGAGAAAAACTGGCATTCATCCCCTTGTCATCCTTTTTGTCTATCTCAGGAGTAAAAAGGATAACCTGAAATACTTCTAGTCATCGCCTCCCCACAAAGAATTAATGAAGTATTATCATTTGTATAGGAAAGCTTGAGTATAGTAATGGGGTAAACCAGACTTTATAAAACAGGAATCTGAATGTATTTGCTTATTGTTTTTATTTCATATTAATAAAATTAATGTAACACTTAAGTTAAAGAATCAGAATGAAAATTCATTAACCTGAACTAGGAACAAATTTTTCATGTTTTTAAAAGTCCTTTGTCAAACTTAAAATACATGCACAGACAAAAAATATTATTGACTCAGGCAAGAGACTTTATAAATCAAAAGCAATTAGGGCAGACACTTGTATTAACTGGGATATTACAGATTTGATTTCTTCCTTGAATTACTCTTTTAAGATAAAAGTTAAAAAAACTAATTCAAATCCTCTCAGTCTGGAACATTCTTAGTAATTCTTTCCAGAAGAACAAAATAAAAAGTACTGGTAAATATGTTAATATGGTGTCCTGGGTGATTTTGATACAGAGGTTAATGTCCTACCCATTCCCCAATGTTCATTCCTTATATATTAGCAATTAAAATCCAGGCTTTGCCACTATATGAAAAAAAAATGTTTAGAAATAAGTAGGACTCTTCAGCACAAAACCACTTGTTGATCATTTACATCCCAGTGGTGTCATTAGTTTTGGTCAGGTATTATAGTGAACCACTTAGGAAGTAGTGTACTGTAGCATATGCAATGGTAATCTATGAGAGCAAGACAACAGCCAGCTGTAAATTGCATGTATAAAGGCTACCAGCTTTAATAATGTAACTCCAAGTCTCTGTTGTATTCAGATGTACTTGTTTGGGAGTAACTCCCACTTGACACTCTTACTTTGAACAGATTTGAATAGTCAAGTGTATAAACCTATGTAGCTATAAATAGGAGACTTAACCTCCTGAACACAGTGTAGCTTAACTTTATTAACAGCGCGGCTTAATCAATAGTAATAGCAGCTCCAAAGGAAAACTGTTATCTCTCACGGGGAATATCGCTCTTCCACTTGGGGGAAGATTAGGAGTCCCAAGATCAAACTTTTGAAGAGTCCGGTCCCGCCCTAAATCTGTTCATCCGCTATAAATATTTTACCCATTTTGGAGATTAAACAATGAAAATTTTCTTCTTTCCTTCTCCCTACATTTTTTTAGTGATGCCGGGCACCACTGTTCCCTACCAAACGGTATAGTTCCCCACTCCCCACTCTCACAGGCCCTGTTCACTATGGCCGGGCAGGAATCCTTACCTCCAAAAAGATGAGGCGAAAGGTGCGCGGGAAGCGAGCCGATAACCAGCCGGGGTCCTCCGCTTATCTCTCCGGGTCCTTCTGCACCGCCACTCGCCGTGGCTCGTTCCCGGCCCCCTTCCTCGGGAGTGCTGCTGACCGAGTCTTGGGAGCCATAGAGGCCGCTGCTGTTGGGGATGTGGAAGGCAGAATGCGCCGCTCTAGCCCCGGAGATAGTTGGTCCGCCCAGAGACCTACTCCTGGGAGCGGCTAAAGGGGGAGCCGCCGTCGTCGCTCCGCTGCTAGTCGAGGAGCCGGAGGCCGCATGGTGCGCTCCAGGCGCCAGGTGTGTGTATCTCATCGCTCCGCCTATCGGCCGCCCGCCCGTCCCATTAATGCCGCCGCTGCTACTGCCGGACGGCAAGTCTCCCCCGGAATAAGCCCGCGTTCGGCCGTTGGTGGCTGCCGGGCCGCTCTGCTTAGCGCCCATGGTGCTTCCTTCGCTACCACCTTTTTTCTCTTCGTTCTTCTCCCGCCTCTCCTTTCAGTGGGACCCGCCGGCGAAACTGAGTAGAGAACGAAACGTCCACCGCTCGTCCTTCTAACCCGAGCGCCAAAGAAGTACCAGGAAACGGTGATTCAGCTAGCGGCCCCAGGGCTGCGAATGTGTTTCCACCTCTGCGGGACCCTAGAAGCAGCGACGGAGAAGGCTTCAGCAGTTATAACCGCGGCGCGGAATGACGGCGCCGCTACAGCTGCGGCTTGAGAGCTCAGCCCCGCAGTTTCCGCCATCCTTCCCCGCAGAAAGGAGAGCGAGCAAAGCGGCCGCAACCGGCCGCTCGCCCGTGAGGCCGCTTCCCTGCCTCACGGCCCGGTTTCCCCCGCGCTCACTCAAGTGCTAGGCAAGGGGGCGGCACCGCTGCGCAGTCGTTCGCTCGCTCTTTTTGTACTGCCTTGTCTCCGTAATGGCGGGAGGGAGGTGGAAGGCGGGGAAACTCTGGCCTCCTTCTGCTCCGCCCTCTGCCAGTCCCGGAGATAACGCACCCGGCCCTTTCCGACGGGTGGAGTAGGAAAGCAGGTTAACATGCGCTTCGGCCCATCCGACTCAGGCGTTTTCCGCTTCTCTTTCTCTTTGCCTCCTCCTTCCCTCCCTTGCCGGCCTTACGCTTTTAAGCCGTTGCCGGCCGATCAACAGGCTAAGCTTTTCTCGGTGCTGAATAGGGGTAGTTCAGTTTCTGGCTGGCAATGGTCGTTATTGGCGGGGCAAAAAGAAACCCAAATCTCTACTGTGTTGTATTGGAAGCGTGTTAGAAAAAGGAAGGAACCTGTCAGTCAATCACCTGTTCACCTGCGAGCCTTGAGGTGTTAATCGTATCCGCTCAGACTCGTTCAAACGGATTAATTTTGGGTGCCTGGGTTGGAGGGCAAAGGGTACAGCACGTAACTTCTGTCCCGGGAAAAAAAATACCCACGGTTCTAAGTTGGAAAATAAAGCGGGTGTTTCGGTCCCGTTTAGTTCCAACTGGTATCGTAAGGAACAGGAGTGAAATGTAGGGTATACAAGTTTAGGGGACGTTTACTTTCTTTACCGGGCTCTACCTTGCCCGGTGTTTTTCCAAAATGATCGGCCTACAATTCCCAGAATTCTAAGGCATATTAGCATGTGCCTGGGAATGTTGGAAGTTAGGATTAGAATATTTCTGGAGGATCCCAGAGTGAAAAAAGCTGTTGGGAAATATTCTGCCAGTTGGAAGCTTCTCTTTTTATTTTTATTATTTATTTATTTATTGGAAACAGCGAGGGCAATAATGTGTGCGGTAGTGATATCACTCTCACTGTGATTTCCTTGGGTGGAGGAGATCGTTGTTGTTTTACAGTTCTTTTTTTATAATATAGTTTATTATTTTTTTAACACGGTCACCTTAATATTCGGTAAACGGTGTGTTGTTTGGGATTACATTTAAAAAACATTGTAACAATTGGTTTCTATGATCTATAATCCACATAATAGCTTTGCTTGATTTCCTCTTCTTCCCATAATGTTCTTTTTTACCAACCTTAAGTTAAAACAATTCTTATTGTTTTGATAGATAACAATTAAATATAATTTTTTCTAATATTTCCACAAATAATAATCACATCAATATAATATTTATTTTCTATCTAGTCATTTTGGTTGCCCCATCATACATTCCATTTACAATTCTTATTTACATTTGTTTTTCCCACAATATTCAAGACATTCTTACTGGTTAAGATTTTCTCAAAGTTAATTACATTTAAATATTTGATTCTACTTTTTCTCATGTAAGCCATCCCATAACTTTTACCTTACTTAAGGAGTAAATAAGACTAAAAAAAGAAAAAGAACAAGAGTAAAGAGGGATAAAAAGATAGAATATTACCGAAAGTCCATGTTTCCCCTAAGCTAATACATATTTATTTCTAATTTTTTTCCATTCTTTTTACCATAATTAAGAATATATTTAATCTTTAAATATTCCATTTAATAAATGTAGTCATCTGGTCTTTTAACTCTTATTCAAAATATTTTTTTTCAATCCATTGTAATTTTCTTAAAATCAATCACATTTAAATATCTAAAATATGTCCTTATATATAAGCCAGTGATGGCGAATCTTTTAGAGACCAAGTGCCCAAATTGCAACCCAAAACCCACTTATTTATCGCAAAATGCCAGGGCTGTATCAGCACTGTGGTGCCCTCGGGGGGGCATGGCCCACTGGATGGGCATGGCTGCAGTGGTCATGGCAGATTGGGTGAGCATGGCATCCCCAAGGGGCCAATGCCGCTTGCTTGCTCACTTCCTGCCCTGTTGCTTCCAAATGCCACGTGCTCACTACTCTGGCAAACTTTGCTGGGGCAACGGCGTGCGTGCCCACAGAGAGGGCTTTGAGTGCCACCTCTGGCAATGTGCCATAGGTTCGCCACCACTGGTCTAACATCTATACCTGGGAAGATCCTGGAAAAGATAAAAAACATCTGTGAACAACTAGAAGCAAACAAATTATAACTAGTAGCCAGCACGGGTTTGTTAAAAACAGATCATGCCAAACTAATCTTATTTCATTCTTGAAAAATTGGCTAAATTAGTAGACCAGCAAAACACTGTAGACATAGTATACTTAGATTTCAGTAAAGCATTTGACAAAGTAGACCACAATCTGCTGCTTAGTAAGCTAGAAAAATGGTGGGATAGATAACAATACCATCAGAGGAAATAGAAGGGAAACTCATCCAATTTGCAGATAACACTAAACTGGTAGGAATAGCCAACACCCCAGAAGACAAGCTCAGGATCCAAAAAGATCATAACAGACTTGAACAATGGACCCTATCCAACAGAATAAATTTTAATGTGGAGAAAAACAAAGGTTTACATTTAGTCAGGAAAAATCAAAGGTATAACTACAGATTAGATGAGACCTGGCTCAAAAAGAGTAACTGTGAGAGGGACCTTGGAGTCCTAGTGGATGATCATTTGAATATGAGCCAGCAGTATGCAGCCGCCGCCAAAAAAGCTAATACAATCCTGGATTGTATAAACAGAGGCATAGAATCAAGATCACACAAAGTATTAGTACCACTTTATAAAACTCTAGTTTAAAGACCAGACCTGGAATACTGCAACCAATTTTGGTCACCATACTACAAAAAAATGTTGAAACTTTGGAAAAAGTTCAGAGAAGAGCAACTAAAATGATCAAAGGCCTGGAGACTAAAATATATGAAGAATGGTTACAGGACTTGGGTTTGGCTAGTCTAAAGAAAAGAAGAAACAGAGGTGACACGATAGCAGTATTTGAGGGGCACCACAAACTACTCTCCAAAGCACCAGATGGTTAGGATTATGACAAGAAACAATGGTTGGAAACTGACCAAAGAGAGAAGCAACCTGGAATTAGAGTGCAGTACTGCAGGCCACTTTAGCTGACTGTGTTCAGCAGGTCAGCGGTTTAAATCTCACCAGCTCAAGGTTGACTCAGCCTTCCATCCTTCCGGGGTAGGTAAAATGAGGACCCAGATTGTTGGGGGCAAAGTAAATATATATATACATTGCTTACTGGTGTACACCGCTTAGAGAGTGCTTGCACTTAAAGCGGTATATAAGTCTCATAAATAAATAAATTAAGAAACATCCTAACAGTGAGGACAATTAACCAGTGGAACAGCTTGGCAGAGGAGGCATGCTGCAGGCCTGATCAGCCTGATTATTCTGGCTGGTGGGGTACAGGAGGAAGGCCTTCCCTGCTGTTGCTCTTGCCTTCTAGAACATCTTGCCCCCAATGTGAAGTTGGTCCCAACCTCCTATCTTTTCATAAGGGCTGAAAGATGTGGCTTTGACAGTTGTCTTGGGGCCCCAGTGGGTGAACAGCGCAATAGAGATGGTTAATTAATAACAGATCACATCTCTCCCCACCCCGCCCTTACCACGTGTCCCTGGTTTTAATATTTGATTTTAACTTTTTATGTTTTAATTTATATGTAACTAAGTCGCCCAGATTTACTCTATGATAAGATGAGCAGCCAATAAATTTTATAAATAAATATGTAGCTTTCTGTTATGTGTAAATAAATAGCTGCTGTTAAAGAAAAGCAAAGTCTGTAGTCCCCTTCTCTACTTTATCTGATGTTGGGGGTACCAATTTTTAATTTTGGGGCACTTTAATATAGGTTTAAAAGAGAAATTGATAGTAGAAAGTAGCCTCTAAGGCCTAATAGAAATTTTGATGGCCATAGAGCTCTTGCTTATTCTTGAATATCCTAGAGATATTTCTCCATGGTATGCAATGATCCGGGATTCCATCACTAAAGAATACTGCAGGGCATGGGCGTTCATCATAAGTACTCTCATTGCACTTGCCCAATAGTTTTTACTCTATACATTCCTTGAAACTTCAGCCAAGGAAAAAATATATCCCCAAGGGAAAATAAAGATTGCCTTGATATGGAGAGGGGGTTGACTCAGAGTGATCTATGTTCTCTCCTCTGAGGATTAGGCCCCATATGCGTATAGCTGATTGTCTTGCATGATTGAAGTTTGTGTTTAGTATATGAAGTGTATAGAACTGTTAATGCAACTATGGCTTTGGACAGAAAATATGAACTATAGTTTCAATAAAAGTGAGTTGTATTCTCTTTATTTTGTGCACATTTCTGAGAATACTTAAGGATAGCTTTTACAGCAGTGGTTCTCAACCTGTGGGTCGGGACCCCATTTGGGGTCGAACGACCATTTCACGGGGGTCGCCAAACAACGCAGTCCGCCATTTTTTCCCCCTTTTCCTTAGCTGTGCTACTCCCTTTTATTCTATTGGCTTTTGAAAGCCAATAGAATAGACTCTCTTGAATAGAGTCTAATTCTATTGGCTTTCAAAAGCCAATAGGAATTGTCCAGGCTGTCTCTGCCCTGCTGAGCCCGCCAAAATATCCCATTCTGCAAATGGTGCTGCACCAGTTGAGTAGTCCTCAACTTACGACCGGTTGAGTAGTCCTTGACTTACGACCGGTTGGGGGTCGCGGCATTAAAAAGGTTGAGAATCACTGTTTTACAGTGTGACACTAATTTCTTGAAACAAGGATTTTTGGCTAAAGACTTTGGAGAAAGAGGAAGTAATGGAAATGGCTGCATAAAAATCTCCTATGAGATCTTTGTCAGGGAAGTCTAACAAATCAAGAAAGAGGAACTAAACTGAGGCTGTGTGGTTTTAGAGTTTCCCTTGTTTGCTCCTTTTTTCTTAGCTTCCTTATTTCTCTCAGCAAAATAGAGTTTGTTCAAGCAATTAATTATACACGTGAGGTATAAAGGAGCCACATTCATACATTTTGCATCCGTATGTGTAGCAATATAATACCACACTGACTTTGGGGTATTTTTTGTTATTAATGAGCACAAGCAAGTTGAAACAAGATTTGACCTATTTACAAATTGTAGTTTAAATTCAGTCATTGATATCATAGGGACCAAGCTTATATAAAACTGAATATTACTATACTTCATGTAAAGGAAATAATATATGAGTGAGAAGCTTACTATTTAGTTTTCTTTTATATCTAACATGAAACATTGCAAAATATGGCAATATAGAAGGGTTAATTTTGGCAATATTCCTATATGATACACCATGACTTTGAATCGTGATAGAAGTGGAAGAGGGTATATTTCTGCATTTTATTCTGTTGTTTTTAATTTTAGCCAGACAAGATCAGGAATTCTCCACCTGATTCTGTTTCTCAGGTCTTTCAGCATAATGGAGTGAATCATGTGGTTCATACATTAAAATACTATACAGTTTACAACTACTATATAACATACGCTAGTGCATAACAAGTCATGTTATTGGCATCTGTTGAACAGTTGTAGATTGAAATAGCAATCCAGTGGGGCCTCTTTTAGGCAGAGATCTATATAAACCATATTTATAACTTTGATACTGCAGAATAACTGACACAGCCACTCTCATAAGGATATAATATACAAGTGATCTCATGCTCTTGATTGCTTTTAACTTACCTAATTTACCTAATTAGAATTTTTCTTTTATTTTCATTTTTGACTAAAAATCTATAATATAATTTCTGCTGTAAACTGAGCTTACAGAAAATAATTGCTAAGAATAACAATGAAATTTGATTTTAGATTTTCTGCATTTGTCCACAATTTATAAATCTTGCCTTCGGTATTTTTATGAGCTTAATAGTTGTGGGTGATACTTTCTTTGCACAATTTATTTACAAATTAGAGATACAATTTGAAACAGGTGCTTGACATAAAATCAGGCATCACTCAGTCAACAATTACCTTGTTCAGCAACAGAAATTCCAGTCTCAACTGTGGTCGTAAGTTGAGGCCCACCTGTAGTATCATTGGAGTCATCAGCCAGACCTGCTGGGACCAGAACTGTTAAGTCCTTCGTTCCATGGCGAATGAAGATCACACATGGTAGAATCAATAGCTCTTTATTTCTCCTTCTGCTCACTCCAACAACAACAGCGAG